CTGAGCTACCACAGGCTACATCTGAGCAGAGGTTCTAGGTTACATTCATACATGGTCCTTGGTTGCATGTCAGTCTCAGAAAAGACCCTGTGCCCAGATATATTTGGTCCTTGTGGAGCTCCTATCCTTTCCTCATCAGACTAACTCCCCTTCTTTCTTATGATTCCCTGTACTCTGCCAAAGGTTTGGTCATGAGTCTTTGCTTTGAAAACACTGCTAGTTAGAGTCTTTCAAATGCGCTCAGTAGACTCCTGTCAATGTTCAATGCGCATCCCATCTGTCTTTCAAAACGAGGATTGATAATCTTACCCCATGTCCGCTCTCTTGATTATCTTTTTTAGGTGTATAGATTTCATTATGTTTATCATATCTTATAGGTCTATATAAGTGAGTATATACCGTGTTTGTCTTTCTCCTTCCCCTCCAGGTCTTTCTATCTCCCCCTTCTTTCACAAAATTCCATGCATTCTACCCAAAGTTTTGCTAATAGTCTTAGCCTCTGCTTCAATACCTCAATCAGTAGAGTCTTTCAGAGGCTGTCTGTGGTAGGCCTCTGTCCTGTTCCCTGTCTTCTTCTGCTTCTGATATCTAATGTGTTTGCCCTGCTGAATGAGGATTGAGCATCTTTTAGGAAATGATCTTTACTAACCCTACATCTGACAGAGGGCTAATATCCAGTATATATAAAGAACTTAAGATTAAACACCAACAAACCAATTACAGAGAATTCTTGATAGAGGAATATTGAATGGCAGAGAAACACTTAAAGAGATGCTCAACATCCTTAGTCATCAGAGAGATACAAATCAAAACAACTCTGAGATTTCACCTTACACCCATCAGAATGGCTAAGATCAAAAACTCGAATGACAACACATGCTGGAGAGGTTGTGGAGAAAGGGGAACCCTCCTCCACTGCTGGTGGGAATATAAACTTGTACAACCACTTTGGAAATCAATTGGTGCTTTCTGAGAAAAATAGGAATAATACTACCTCAAGATCCAGCTATACCACTCCTAGGCGTGTATCTGAAATATGCTCAACTATACAACAAGGACATTTGCTCAACCATGTTCATATCAGCTCTATTCGCAATAGCCAGAATCTGGAAACAAACTTGATGTCCCCTCAACTGAACAATGGATGCAGAAATTTGGTACATTTACACAATGGAATACTACTCATCTATTAAAAACAAGAAAATCATGAAATTTGCAGGCAAATGAAAAGATAATCTTGAGTGAGGTATCCCAGAAACAGAAAGACATACATGGTATATACTCACTTATAAGTGGTTATTAGACATATAATATAAGATAAACATATTAAAATCTATACTCCTAAAGATGCTAAGCAACAAGAAAGACCCTAGGGAAGATGCTGACTAGAATTTTTAATAGCTGTTTTCACCCAATACATTTTTTATCTTAATGCTTATTAGAATCCCAAAAGTTTGTTTGTTTTTTAAATCATATAAAGTTATCTTAAAATCATCAACCAGGAACTCCAAATTTCAAAAATCAATAAGTAATTGGTTTCCTGATATAAAAATTAAATCTTGAGAACAATAAAATAATGCATAAATATAAAAATTAGCTCAATGCATCACTAGACTGAATGTAAAAGCTAAACCATAAAACTTTTAGGAAAAAAAATCATAGGAAATTATCTTCAGAACTTAGATCTATGTAAGTAGTTCCTAGCAAAGCATCATCCATAAAAATGATAAATTGGATATAATTAAAGTCAGATATTTAGGTCTGTGAAGGGTCGCATTAAGGCAAAAAGGAAAGCTACAGACTGGATGAGCATTTGCAGCGCACACATCTGACGAAGCATTGTATCTAGACTATAAAAGACCTCTTAAGAGTCAAGAGTAAAATAGGTAGTGGCTGCAGGTTTTTGGATGCAAGAAGATGTGTCACATTGAGAATGAGAAGATTGCCTCACCAAAGTGCACGAGCATACGCTGGAGAGCATGCGCCACCCTCACCGCAGCACAAGTTATTGGAGTCACTTCGGCTTCCGGGCGAAGCCATCCGGGTCCATGTGAAGATGGCGGCCATGTGGCCCACATCTATGCTGTTTGACTGTTCATCTCCAAAGCCTTGGTAGCCTAGGACCAGAAATATGAAGATGAGGCATTGAAGAAGGATATCAGAGTCATCCTGATCCCATAAGACCAGCCCCTGTTAGTAGCTTTGCTGCAAACCCAAAAAGTTTGGAAGCCCTGGTGCCTGCCAGTGCTTGCTAGCAGAAATTCTACTGATAAGCCCATCACGAGGACTGGGATTTAGCCTTGTAATATGCATTGTAAGATTCTAATGTTTAAAAATGGAGCGTCAATGGCAAAATAAGTAATCCATTTACAGAATACTCAAATGGAGCGCGGTGGTTGGCACGCACTGCAGCTCCCAGCTGGCACCATTCACTTCTGCAGCGGAGTGCATCCCGGCTGCAGCAGAAATCATTTCATCCCAGCATGGGATCTGGTGCCCTTCAGAGAAGTGGCTCCTGGACACGGGGTGTTCTTCAGATACCTGCCTCTCTGAGACTCCTTTCCCTAATGGTAAATAACGTTTCTATCAGCTTTGCTTTCTGCGCTTTCCCCTGCTTCTATCCAGACTCTTTGAAGGGAACTTGACGGAGTCTGTTTGTGTCATAATTATTGTCTACTTGCTTCTAAGTGCCCTGGAGCCCAGATTATGCCTTTTTGCATCTCCATTTTTTTTTTCACTTCCACCAACAAGATTTACCTGGAGAAGACATGTAAATGTGCAAATGCTTTTAGAATTTTACCTTTAAAAAGCAGAGCTGAGGAACTTTTGGAAGTGACCACCACACAAAGCAGCCATGCTTCTAGGCACAGTGAGTGGTTCTCAACCTGTAGGTCCCAACCCCTTTTGGCAAACCTCTGTCTCCAAAAATATTTACATTACGATTCATAGCAGTAGCAAAATTACAGTTAGGAAGTTGCAACAAAAATAACTTTATGGTTGGGGGTCACTACAGCCCGAACTGTGTTAAAGAGGTTACAGCATTGGGAAGGTTGAGAACCACTAAGAAAGAGGTTTAGAAAGAGGGGAAATGGGCACAGAGAGGGCTGGCCTCTGGTGAGATGGGATATTACTGTGGGTGGTGACTGTGTAACCGTGTAATTGACCCCTTAATGAGGCAACAGGTAGATACAGGTGCCATCGAGGAGACTTGAAGAAATGTCAAATCTCCAGACCAGTCATTTTATTTCTGGTTGACAAGAATTCTTGAAGGTAGCAGTTGTGTAAATCTGGACCAAGAGGAGGGGACAGCACATCATGGGAGAAGAAAAACAAATCCAGGCAAAGCCTTTATCCCTGGTAGTAAAAGAGAAATCCACGTGGATAAGGGAGCTACCATGGAGCACTCATGGGCCGGTCCCTTGCCTCAGCGCACAGCCCGAGCCTTGGGAGAGATGTGAGAGCGGTATGCAGAAGGAGTTTATGTAACAACCAGGGAGAGGGGGAGCTGGCTGTGGCTGGGCAGTGTTAACCTATGTGATGACATCCTCACATTCTGCACCCTTCTATAATGCAGCTGTCAGAAGGAAGACAGGAAAGAGTGCCATTTACTCAGGTGAATACCTTTCAGATATTCACCCCCCAGGAACAGTTTAATGGTAATCCTTATTTTCATAAATAAATCTTTACCCTCGATTGAAAGGAAGAAGAGAAAGAATTCATTGGAAAGACTTCTGCTCCTCTTCTCCTTGTAAAAAGGGCACTAAATACAAAGAACAAGCCTGCTTCAGCACAGATACTGGGGAGACAATTTCTTTGTTAGATTTGATTGCCAGTAGTTTGAACACAGGGTCTTATACAGCAGATAGTGCAAGCATTGAAAAGAAATTCAAACCTTCAGCTCTGTTTTTTTTTTCTATTTTAATACTACTACTTACTAAACTTCTGGCTAATAATTTCTAAATGTTCAAATAGCATGAATAGATATTTCACCAAAAAAAAAAAAAAAAAAAAAGTACATGTGGTCAATAGGCAGGTGAGAGGGAGCCGATAGCATCAGCCATTAGGGAAATAAACCACAATAAGATACCACTGTGCGACTATCCGATGAAAGAAAGAAAAGGTCGAGAGGAGGGAAGGAGAGGGGATTGCCACACGACATTTACGCTGCATTCCTACGCATTTATGCCAAAGAAATGAAGACAGATGTCCCCACAGCTAGCTGCACCAGTGTTTCTAACAGCTTTATCAGAATCTGGAAACAGCCCAGATACTCTACAGCCGGTAAACAGCTAGGCAAACTGTGGTTTTCCTGTGTCATAGAATACTACTCTGCAATAAAAAGGGCCACACCATTGAAAAATGCAACTATAATATGATAAAGAGCTATAGGAATCTCTAGGGAATTGAGAGAGCTGGCAGGGAGCCACACATAACAGGCTACCAAATGTCTGACTCCATTTACACAATTTACTTCAGATGCTGAAAGCAAGGACATGAAAGCCAGAGGGCGTGGGGCTATAGATGTCATGAGGAGTGCTTGTACGGGCAGATGTTCTGTGGCTCAACCAAGTGAAGGTCCACACTGAGATGATGAAACTGTGCTGTAGTTTCATAATGTTGATTGCATCCTGGGAAAGCCGGATGCAGTCTGTGCAGGACCGCTCTAAGTTATTTTTTACAACTACATGTGACTCTAGAATGCTCTCAAAGGAAAAATTAAGCCCTTAAAATTTGTCTTGTATATTCAGTGATTAGAAAGTGTATGTTGTCTTCATTTGGGCACCATGCTCTTATCTCCAAACTCCTCAACTTTGTTCTGTTCCTGTTAAGTCTATGGTAGGAATATGAGTTGGCAGGTAACAGGTTCCAGAATTTTTTTCAAGGCAAAGCATGGCAGGCTATGCCCAAGCCGAACATGTGTCCTCTGTTGGTCTCCTCGTGTTTTAGCAGACCAGGCCATACCACTGTTGGTGACAGCTCGTTTTCTTTCTCATCTCCAGGAAAGCCACTAGTGAAATCATCTCGAATGACTGTGGTTAACACAGAGAAGCCTACAGTTACAATGGATATCGGCGGGACCATCAGGACCATCCAAGGAGTGAATGTGACAATTAACTGCCAAGTGGCAGGTAAGCAATCCATTCCTGTGTTGACCTGTTCCAACATTGATAGAGCTTCGGGAGAGGCTGGGGGACACAAACATAAATTAAATACAAATTCTACTCTCAGGGACTCCAGAGCTGAAACACAAACCTGATTCAGAAAGTGAGGGTGCTTTGGAAAGTTAGAGAGGGAAGGTTAATTCTGCCTAAGCCTGGTGGACCAAAAGAGACATTAGGGTTTATTATTATTATTATTATTATTATCATCATCATCATCATCATCATCATCATCATTATTATTGGACAAATCGTAGTTGTGTGCATTTATGGGGTATAGTGTAAAATAACACAGAATGATTAAACCAAGCTAATCAAAATTTTGTTTGCTTATGTACCCATTGCAATAGTGTTTGTGGGTTTTGTTTGTTTGTTTGTGTCTGGGGTTTTGTAGTTGTTGTTAAGGCAGTCTAAGGCTGGCTTAGAACACACTATGTAGTTCAGGCTTCAAATCCGAGACTTTTCTCCAGCAGCCTTGTAAGCGCTAGAATTGCAGCTGGATGACATGCTAGGCTTATTTGTTTTGTTTTATTTTAATCTTAATTTTCCACACTAACAAAATGTGGGCACGCAAGGATTGGGGCAAGGTGGTCCAAGTAGAAAAAGAAAGCCAGTATGTGAATTTTCCTGAAAGCTAGAAAGCCGGGTGCTGTCCCGGAAATAACATGAGCTTAAATCTGAATGTGAAGGGCTTAAATCTTTACAAGGTGGGTGGCAGATAGACCGTGGGTGACCATGGACGACTGACCAAGGAGCCCAGACAAAGGAAAATAGAGAGCCATGCTGCCTCAGAGTTGGGGAGATGTCTCAGTGGGTAAGAAAACTGCTACTGTGCAAACACGAGGACCTGAGTTTGAACCCCCAACACCCATGGAAAAGCCAGGCGTGGCTGCACATACCCCGGCACTAAGGGATGGAAACAAGTGGACCCTAACAGCTCACCTAGCCATAATGGTAAGCTACAGCCTGAGTAAGGTACAAGCTGTCAAGAAATAGGGGGAAAGCAGTAGAAGATACTTGATGTCTCCCTCTGGCCCCTGAATGCAGGTACTAGGTCTGTGTACCCTCACACACATGTGCACACGTACATACAAGGAAGGGAAGGAAGACTTCCTCGGGAAGGAAGAAAAAAAATGAGGAAGACGCTAGGAGATAGAAGCATTGACCATGCCCATATCAAAAGAGGTAATGTGAAAAACAGCCTTCTGCCAAAAGCAATCTACAAATTCGATGCAGTCCCAACCAAAATTTCAGGATCATTCTTCACAGAAATAGCAAAAAGAATCTTAAATTCTATATAAAGAAATAAAGAGCAAGGGCAGTCAAAACCGTACTGAACCAAAGAACAGTATTTCTGGAAGTATCACTATGCCCGATTTCAAGTTATACTACAGAGCCATAGCAATAAAAATATTGTGATACCCATACAAAAAGAGACACACTGATCAACTGAATAGAACTGAGGGCTCCGATATAAGCCCCCACTCCAAAAGACATCTGACTACTGAAAAAGAGCTCAAAAATACACAGAGAAAAGATAGCATCTTAAATAAACTGTGCTGAGAAAACTGGCTGTTAACATGAAAGAAAATGAAACTAGATCTTTTCTTCTCACCCTGCATAAAGCTCAACTCCAAAAAGATCAAGGACCTCAACATAAGGCCTGATGCCCTGAAACTGTCAGAGGAGAAAACGGGGTGAACACTTCAACATGTAGAGGACTTTCTAGTAGCTCAGAAAATAAGACCAACAACTGAGAAATGGGTTCTCATGAAACCAAAAGGCTCTGTACAACAAAGAAAACCATCAATCAAGTGAAGAGGCAGGCCATAGAATTGAAGAAAATCTTTGCCAGCTCTGTCTCCTCTAGCAGATTAATATTCTATTATACAAAGAGCTCATAAAACTATACATTAAGAAAACAAACTCAATCAAAAAGTTGGCCGTGGTTCTGAAAACAAATGCACATGTCTAATAACCATTTTGAGGTGTTCCACATCATTATTCATTAAATGAAAACTACTTTGAGATTTCACCTTATCTCAATCAGAATGGCTATCATCAGGAAAGCAAATGATGGCAAAGGCTGGTGAAGATGTGGGGGAAAAGGAACCTTTGTCTATTGTTGGTGGGAACTTAAACCTAGAAAGCCACTGTGGAAATCAGTGTGGATTTTCCTCAGAAAATGCTAGAAGTAGATCTACTGCTTGGCCTAGCAGTAACCCTCCTGGGCATAAACTCGAAGAACTCTGTTCTTACTAAGCATAACTCTTACTACAGAGGTATTCGCTCAAGCATTTCACTGCTGCGTTCTTCACAACAGCCGGAAAATTAAACAAGCCTTGATACCCATCCGCTGATGGATGAAGAAAATGTGGCATATAGACACAGTGGAATTTTATACAACTGTCAAGAAAAATGAAATTTTCAGGAAAAAAATGTATGGAGCCAGAAAAATTACATTGAGCAAGATAGCCCAGACTCAAATAGAAAAACGCTGTATGTTCTCTCTCAAGCACAGATCTTTAGATTTGCATCCTAACCTGGAGTACCTGTAGAAGTAAGGAAGTTGGAGAGGGGGCGGTGGGATGGGTCTTAAAGTAGATGGGACAACAGAACATAGATGATGTGAAAACAGGAGAAACATTAGGAGTAGAGAGCTTAAGCAGGGATAGGGAAGGCAGAGGAAGAAGAAAGGACCGTTGGCCAAAACTGAGATTGTATGTCAACACAATATGGAAGCTTACTACTGCGTAAGCCAATTAAAAAAAATGTAGGTTGAGAGAAAGAGAGTGGCAGGGGAGTGCTTCTGAATAATGCTGTTCCTGAAAGACCAGAGTTACTAAACAAAAACTCCAGGGTCGAGTTAAAGTTATCTCCTTAGGAGTCAGTCAGGGAAGCTCCAGAGGCCCCCAAAACAGCCAAACCCTTGCCATTCTTCCTGGTTGCCACTGGAACTAGTTGATAAGACCCTGTTGCTAAAGCTACCACGTATCTTCATTACAGTGTATACAGAAATCATGCTGGAAATGTTCTAGAACTGAGAACTTTCAGGCCGGTGCATGGGGGAAAAAAAGGGTGGTGACCTTTGGGGGGGTCAAAAAACCCTTTCCCAAGGTTGCCTAAGACCATCAGCATGTCAGATATTTACATTACAATTCACAAGAGTAGCAAAGTAGAGTTATGAAGTAGCAATGAAATAATTTTGGGGTTGGGGGTCAACACCACATGAGGAACTGTATTAAAGGATTGCAGCATTAGGAAGGTTGAGAACCACTGAATGAGACATTTGAAAGAGATCATGAAAGCCAGATGCGCCAAGTCAGGAAGAAGGTGGGGAAGCTAGGACATGAAAACAATGCTTTGCCCCACTGTAGTGGCAATCAAGACCCAGTCCCCTAGACCTCATCCAGAAGTTCAGCTGATTGCCTTTGCCTAGCTATGAGGTTAGAGTTGGGTTTGGGTTGGGTTTTATGGGGGGGGGGGGGCGTGGAGAAGAGCATGCATGTGTGGAAGCCAAAAGCTAACATCGTTTAGTCACTCTCCACCTTAACTGTTGAGGCAGACTTGCTCTGCATTTGGCTGCAGATCCCTGGAGCTCAGTGGCCAGCCAGTCTAGCTGAAACAACATTACAGATTTTTGTTCTGTTTTTACCCACAGAACCATGTCTGTTAATCCCAATTAAAACTAAATCCCTCTTTGTGCCTCAGTCATTATGCCTGTTATTAAGTCATACATTTACTGAAAGTAGTGGAGGGAAATCCCAGTTTTGATGTAATTACCAGCAGGGAAATGATTCCCACTACCTTTCTAGCCAGTGTTCGGACAACACTGCTAAATGTGACATGGCTCTGGAACTGCCTACATTTAACTGTCCCTCTCTTACTCCTCATCATCTCCACTGTGTCTCTAACTGGGGGCTCAGTGGCCTTCCAACTGGTTGGATAAGATTCACTACCTTTAGTAATATCATCAGTGGCTGGCAATACTTTAGACCTAACAATCCAGGCCGTTGTAAGAGGCAGAGGAGTGGCTCCATAAAGGCTGCTTAAAGAAAGGCTGTCTGTCAAGTTTGTTTGCAAGTCTCACCGACAGTATCTTATTGAGTATCTAATCTAGGTTAGATCAGAGGTCTCCTAATCCAAGGATACACAGATGGTAAGATTAACCAGGAAACTCGCCATCTGGGGAGAAGAGAGACTAAGAAACACATAACAAAACAGCACCATATAGGGAGAGTTATTATTTCCATATTCAAGAGTAGCAGGGTGTTTTTGACAATTCAGGAAATACAAAAAAAACTAAGAGAATGTGCTCATAGTTCTCCTCAAACTGCCCCATGATGGACGTTTCAACATGGTCCCTTCATCACTGCATTCCCTCTTCTTTCTTTTCCACTCCCTAATTAACATTTGTCTGTCATGAGCCTAATTTTAAAGTATATATAAAAGTCTATTTAAAGAACATATCATGCTTTACCTAGATTTCCTGACATCCTCACATGTTTGAGCTATTAGCAGTTTCTCATTAAAGAATTTTTCTCCACATGTGCTCTCAACTTGTAAAATGCAGCCTCAGACATTCTTCCCAACCCTTCTGCATTAAAAAAAAAAATCAGCAGTGAGTAATGGGGCTGTTTCTTCTCCTCCTCCTCCTCCTCCAAAAGTGATCCAATCCACTCTTTCAGAAAACTAAGGAAATGATCAAAGATCAGTGGAGGGAACTGTGTGCAAATGGCTGGAGGCAGAAAGAGCATGCTGCATTTGACAGTGTGAACTCTGGATGGGGTGTGAGATCTGGTTGAAGAAGAACCATAGCTGGCAGGGGCAGAAAGAAGGAAGTCAGGCTGGGATGGAAGAAGCTGGCACAGACTAGATCTACAAACGCCCGTAGATTATTCTACAGTTCAAGTTTGGGTCCTAAAAGCAAGGGTTTTTTGATCTTAAATGCTTCTGAAGGTTTTGATGAT